GCCGCGCTCGACCACCTCTCACGGCTGCCCATTGCCTGCTGCTGCTGTCCGATTGCCTCCTCCTCCTGCCAGGGCTTACCTTCAGATCACATTGCCACCTTGTCCCCTGCCTGAAGGAGAGAATAGCTGGAGGAGGCGATCTGGCGGTGGCAGCAGCAGCAAGAGGTGGCCAAGCATGGCTGCTTCTTTGCCTCTGTCTCTGCCTCCTGCTGCTGCTGGAGTCTCCTCCAGCGCCACTTGCTGGCTCAGCAGCAGCAGGAGGCAGAGACAGAGGCAAAGGAGTAGCCACACTCGGCTGCCTCTCACTGCTGCCTATTGACTGCTCCTCTGCCTCTGGCAAGGGTAAAACTTAGGGGTCATCCTATACATTGGGGGGGGGTCATATACATGCAAAAATATGGTATTTCTGTGTGTGCCCTTGTGCTATTAATCTAGCCTTGTACTCAGGTTCTCCATTTGCCTGAGTTTCTTCTTTTCTGGGAGTGTGGTATCCATAAACACTTTGTGTTTATGCATACTCTGCATTTTCTTCACATATAGCTTGTTCCCATTTACTCCTTTGAGCCTTTGGAAGATTAACTACGTCAAATAACTTTCTGGTTCACTGAACCTAACATTCAGAGCTTTTACTTTACCAACCACAAATCTCTCAGGTGGTATCCCACATGTGGGATGTTGTGAATGCCTCAACACTACTTGTTCCTCTTTAATTTCTGTTTCCTTTTTAATTTCAACACTTGAGTCACTCTGTTATGACTCAACCTCACTAGTACTAGCTTCAGCTTGTAAATTCTAATGGCTTTGGCTGCACACCTCTGTCTCACCATGTTTGGCTGATTTACTAGTAACTACACAAACGAAACAAGAGTTCAGGATTGGCATGAACCCTCTGCCAATTTTCATGATCTGCAAAGCTAGCAGAACTTGATATTACCAGCTTGTTATTCTAGTCTAAGAATCTATATCCCTCGGAGGTTTGATCATATCCCAGAAATTTCATCTTTCTGACTTTTTTTCCTTCTTTTCTCCTTAATGCCTTTGGGATATTTACTCATGCACTACAAACAAAGATTTTTAAATGACCCAAATAAGGCTTTTTGTTATACAACATGTAGTATGGGGTTTGGTCAATAGCTGATGACCAAAGCCTGTTAAGCAAATAGTTTGTTGTTAAAATGGCTTGTCCACGAAACGTGTTATGTATCCCTGAATCAGTGAACAGGAAGTCCTCCATGGTTTGTAACTTCCCATTATAGCTTTTGCAACCCTATTCTGATGTGGAGAATAGGCACATGCTTTTCTGTGGCTTATACCCTTTCTACTTAGCTATTCTGAAAATTAGCCGCCAGAAATTCTGACCCTCTGTCAGTCTGGAGCTGACACACTTTGTGATTGTATTTCTTTTCAACAAAGTTTACATATTATTTGAACTTTTCAAATGTTTCTGATTTGTGTTGCAGCAGATACACAAAAACAAATCTTGTGTGGGAGTCTGCAATCACCAGTACAAAATGTGAACCTCCCATAGTGAGTGCTACGGGACCAATAAGGTCTGCATGCACAAGTTCAAAAAGTCTTTTAGTTCTTTGGCAACTCCCTGTTTATGGGACTGATCTTTGACTTGGAGATTTTGCACATGGCACAGTTGAAGTAATTATCACAATTCTTTACCATAAGACCTGTAGCCATGTTTGGCACTTTCTTAAACACTTTAAAACTGGCATGACCTAATTTTCTGTGTAGCAGGTATATATATTGGTCATGCTGTGGCTTATTCAAGGTTGTGTGTGCCCTTATATCTTTTATGTTTTCCTGCATGACATAAAAACCATTTGTATTTTTACCTTGACCACAAACCTTGTCATTTTTACAAATTTTACACATACCTTTTGAGAAAATGATTACAAAATTTTCAGCATCTAAATATGAAATACTTAACAGAGAAAAATCTAGTGTGTTCACATATAAAACTTGCTTCGGAAATATATTGAGAGAATTAACAAACACTGTCCCTTCTCCTTCCACTGAAGCATTCTGGCCATCTGCCAAAGCCACCCAGTCCTTTGGAGCTGGACCTGAAACAGGAAACAACTCTTTATTATTACAGATATGTTGATTAGCACCACTGCCCAGGATCCATGTTGACACTTTGCTGTCATCTGGAGTTTACAAAACAACAGATGCTCTTTTCTGTAGCTTTTCTTTTCTCTTGGTCCTGACTTTTTCTCTCAGCTTGCATTACCTCTGTAAATGATTTCTGGAGCAACCACGAAAACATCTCCGGACAGAGAAGACTTTATCTCCTGGCTGCTCCCCCCACATTCTTCAGCACTGGCTCACTGTTTTCTGGCTGTGAGCAGACATTCTTATCAGCTGTGCTAAGAATAAGTTTCCTCTCCTCCTGTTCCTTCTCTTCATCAAGAAGCCTTCCAATTACATAATTTGAAGACAGATCTGTTTCAGACATTGATTCCAAACTGGCTACCACCAAATCAAACATCTCATCTCGGGAGCTGAGAATCATGTACACTTTATGCAAATCTGTAAACTGCATACCACATCTGCATCATGTCACCGAGATGGGCTGACACCTTTTCACCCGGTTTCAGTCTGGATCTGTACAACCTCCTTGTCAAAAGGACTTTTCCAGCTGCAGTGCTCCAAACATACAGATACTTCATAGGTTCCCAGCACTCATAGACAGAAGTCAACCCACATACATGAACTAGTTGGTTATCTTTCAGACATAATATAACGCTGGCAAGTGCTTTTTCACTCATTTCTTGCTGCTCTTCATCAAGGATAGCAGGTGGAGCTTGCACTATCTCCCATCAATGGTCTTTTCCAAGAAGGATCTCAATTTTTAATGACCAGTGCAGATAATTACTGGCATTTAGCCTTGCAATAGGGAAACCTCTGCCAGTCATGAAGCTGCTGGCCTGCTGGCTAATTAATATGCAGTTTCCATTTCTAGCCATCCTCTATCACTCCTGGGCTTACACACAAGGACGCTCACCTCTCTGGACCTCTGGCAAGACTTCCAGCACCTCTGGATAGGTTCCTCTCACATCCATAGTGACTTACCAATGTCTCCACAGGTCACTTGGCGCTGCTTGGGCACTCTGGGACGCTCTGGCAATGTTCTGGGTAGCCCCTGGGCCCATAACTCAATGTCAGGAACTCATGCACTCTGGTTCATGTACAAAGAGTAAATTCTCTGTTATGCACCACAATATCCTGATATGGTCTACTCACAGTTAGTTGATTTGTAGTCATGTGGATTTTGCTTTGCCCTTTGGGAAATGTTTACTCTCATTTTAATTCGGGTAGTGAACTGCTTCTGGAAGCTACGTGGCATCATTTAATTTCAATTTTCATATACCTGCGGGTTGGTACGGTATCATGGTTTCTGTAACTGCTGATCCTTGGCCTCGTCAATTCCTGATGCCCTATTGTCTTTGCCGTTGCTTAAGCAATACAGTGTTAATTTCCAAATAAAAAGGAAAATTTTAAAAAAGTAATGCAGGCCCCCTGCAGTCTGAAAAACATGATGCACGTTTTTTATTATGACAGATGTGTTCACAAATGCCAAAGCGATGCAAAATAGATCAGTTTCAAAATCGTGTTAAAAAGACTCTGCAAAACTATTCAAAATAACTCAATTGGTGGCCACACAGATTTGGGGTTGATTGTGCATCATGTAGTTTTGATTTTTTCAAACAGATTTTAAGCACGCTAATCCCGATTCAAGCCCAGGTTTTATTGCTCATGTGACTGCGCCTGAACTAAAACAGTGACTTGCTTTTCAGTCCGCATCCCAGTTTGTCCCAGTGATCTGGTGTTTCATCTCTTAGCTGCTACTGGCCTTCAGTCCAGTGGCTACTTCTGAAAAATGCTTGGTTTTGTACTGTATGTTTGGGACACTACAGCTGGAAAAGTCCTTTTGACAAGGAGATTGTACAGATCCAGACTGAAACCGGGTGAAAAGGTGTCAGCCCATCTCGGTGACATGATGCAGATGTGGTATGCAGTTTACAGATTTGCATAAAGTGTACATGATGTGAGAGACTGATAAAGTACTGCAGAAAACAATTACTTCAAGTTATGGCTGCTAAAGCTACAAGGTATTGAATTATAACATTTACTTGGTTTTTCACACATGGCTTCTCCCTTTTGGCTTTATTTTTGTTAAATAAATCATGACGCAGTGTAACATGTCAGGTGTTGTTGTTCATCTGAGATTGTATTTGCTGTATTTTTCCATGTATAAAATGACACTTTCCCCTAAAATCATTAGAGGAAAAATTGAGAGTTGTTTTATACATGGAAGGAGTTAGAGGCAAAGCAGCCAGCTGCACTAGGCTGCCTCCTGCAGCTGCCCACTGACTGCTGCTGCCACCGCCGTCCGATCGCCTCCTCCAGTGCAACTTGCTGCAAGTGGCGCTGGAGGAGGCGATCCAGTGATGGAGGCAGCAGTAGCAGCTGACAGAGACAGAGGCAAAGGAGCCGTGCTCGGCCTCCTCTTTCTGTTGCCTATTGACTGCTGCCACTGCCACCGGATTGCCGCCTCCAGCGCCACCCACGGCTTCCCTTTGGGCAGGGGACAAGGCAGCAACATGAGCAGGAGGTGAACCCCGGCAAGTCGCACTGGAGGAGGCAATTGGGCGGCGTCCCTCACGGCTGCCCTTTGACTACTGCTCTGCCTCCGGCAAGGGACAAAATTAAGGGGTTGTTGTCTTCATTGGGGGGGCGTATACACAGAAAGAAAACCGTGCCTAATTTTCAGGTAGCCTACTAAGGATCAGATGATTTTTATGATGACATAGGTAAAAGCATAAACTTCAATGAGGGTATGCTTTCTTTTTCACAGGACTGTATATATATATATATATATATACATGCCTGTAGTATTTAAAGTGAAAGAAATATAAAGTGAAAGAAAATATGTTACCTCTAATGCTTGCAAAATTGCTACATTTCTTTGTCCCCTCTTCCTACAGTGGAAGCAGATCTGGTGGTCTGCTTACAGTGGCATGCTTTTTTTTCAACCATGGAGAGGTAAGTAATTCAGATTTTACAATCAGTTATATAATGTGAAATCGGATATTTTGCATTTGAAACGAGTAGTGTTGATAAACCTTTACATAAAAATTAAATGTAACTGAAACTGCCTTTAAAAGAATCCCAATATTTGGAAGCATCCAAAGTTATTGGTTAATATCCCCTTACTTCCCTTACTTATACTGATCTTCTTTATAAAACTCCATATATAATGCATACTGTGATAGACGTTTTTTAAAGCATTGGAAATAAGGCCCACAAAGGGCCTTGTTTTTAAAACATTGGGTTTTCACATTTTGAAATTTTTAAAATATTATTATTAAACTACATTTTATTTTGTTTTTCTAAAATCCTATGTGATTATTGTTTTAATTTAAAATATTTTGCAGCTCAGATACGTCATTTATGAATATAGGTTATAAATTCTATTTCCATATTATGTGACAAAGTAGTCACATAATCTTTTACAAAAAGTTTTGTGATTAGAATCCAACAGTTCTTGGACTGGGGGCTTCATTTTATGTCAGCCTCTGTGGGCGTAATGTCCTAGTAACTCGATCTAGTAGGCAGTCAGAAAATTTTGAAGCTTGCAAATTTAGTTTGTGTGTCCAGGAATACATACATGTTAATAGGGCTTCCAGCTCTGTTGTTAACAACAGAGGATTGGTGTGTAGTTTTCTTGAATGATTCTGATGACTTTAGGGTGAAAATTTAGGTACCCTTTGTAATGTTGGACAGACAAAGTCAGTGCCTTTAGCCTTTAGCCTTCATTGAAGTCCACATTTTCAGGCACTAGAAGTGTTTGTGAAGGTGGTGGGAACAATGTGGGGAAGGAGGTTATGGAGAACATGTTGTGGAGGTGGGAACAATGTGGGGAAGGTTATGTGAACATTATTGTGGAGGTGGGAACAATGTGGGGAAGGAGGTTATGGAGAACATGTGGTTTATAGCAGGCAAGAGTGCCATTTTGAGTAGAAATCAAATCAAGTAAATAAAATATCTCAGATTTAAATCATGATTTCAATAAATACATTGTAACTTAAAACTACTCTTCCTGACTATGTTCTAGTCTTATGAAGGTTACAAAGATGTGGTTCACTATGTCCAGGTTATCTCTGTTCCATAATTGCTGTGCTTGCCAAACCTAGAAGTTCTTTACCACTGAAACCATTTGGAACTAGAGATATGCATGGTGAAAATTTATATACAGTATTTCTTTTGTTTTAGGTTCATTTGGGGGATGCCTGTTTCATTTTGTTTTGTTTTCATATTTTTCATGTATCAGCCCTATCATTTGACACAAAAAGGAGTGTGAGGATTCTAAAGACACCCACCCTTTTACACCACCACCCTGATAGCTGCTTCAAACTTCACCTTTTGTTTTAAACTCTCAACATTTATTAACATAGGTCCATAGTCTCAGTCATCCACTTCTCTTTTCCCTCCCACGGGGTGAGGAAAGGGTTCCCAGGACTTTCTCCCAACAGTTCTTTCTCCATTTGGTCCTTCTGCCCAACAGTTTTGGTGGTCTGCATCAGTTATGGCGTGGACCTGGTGGCAGCAGCTTTGATGACAGTGGCACAGGTTCTCTCTCCCTTCACTTCACTTCTCCCTCTGTCTTCTGGACAGCCCACCAATTCAAGGACTCGGGGAAAGGTTTGGTCCACCCTGGGGTGGAGTTTTCTCATACTTCTCTACTCCATGTTTCCATTCTGCCCAGGCTGCTAGCTCTCTCTCTTTCCTTTCTCTCTCTCTCCAAGGACTCTTTGAATTATCCATTCTCACCATTCAGGCAATTTTTTTTGTTCCTCCTTTTTACTCTCTGTCCATCCTGCCTCTGTTCCTTTCTTTTTCATTCCTCCTTTATATATCTTTTCCTCTCCTCTGGCCCACTACTCCTCTTCTTTCTCCTTTTTTGCCTTTTCTTCCAAAACAGGTTCTTCATTCCTTCTCCCCTTGCTTTTTCCCTGCCTCCTGATTCTGAGGGACGGGAAGAGGGGGCGGCACACAGGCTGGCAGGTTCTTTCTCACATCTCCTATCTCACAAGGAGCCATTCATTTCATGATTCCCTGTTCATATTTTCTAGCATTAAAACCCTAAAAGTATCCTTAAGAATTACTCCAAAAAAGTAAAGGCAAGGCACTAGAGAATGTGTTTTAGAGGCTGCCATTTGACAACCGATGCAACAAAATGAAACCAATAAAAATAGAGCCTCCCTTGTATTCTTCATCTTTCGTAAAAATATGAAAGTCCCATCTGTATTTAGGACTCTGGTGACAGATAAATCTAAGAGCGTCCACGGACCATGCGCCTGTTCCTGTCCAGAGAGTATAGCTCCATTCGGCACAAATAAAACAGTGGGGCTATGTTGGTTTCCCCCCCATTTATAGCATACTGTAAATGGAATGGAGTTAATTGAAGCATAATGAGTAATAAAATCAGAAGACTATGATACAGTAGGTGGTAATTTGTCAAAATAAATTAAAATTCCTTTTCTGGAACATTTTTAACATTGAAGGATAGATTGGTGTGGTTTTAGGGTCATTGCTGTGTTGTTTTGAACATATGAAATGCTGGTGGAAATTTCTGCAGTTCTTGTGTTAATGTCTGTCAACCTTATCTGCAAAAAACACTTGTTTTGTGGAAAAAACAACTCAAAGTATTTAAATATATAGGGAATTAACTTAGTTTTATTTTCTAGAGTACTCGTGTGATGTGGACTCCTCCTCTACGTGAAAGCTTCTCTTATCCATTCCTTGTCATTCAGATGCTATTACTAACATATATTCTCAGGTATTTCCTTTTGTTCACTACTCAAATAATTAAAATAAAATATCTAAATAAGGTATTGATTTTTACACTCCTACACACATAGTAGCATGCTACTTCTATTTGGTTGTGGGGTTTTCAGGCTCTTTGGCCGTGTTCTGAAGGTTGTTCTTCCTAACATTTCGCCAGTCTCTGTGGCCGGCATCTTCAGAGGACAGAACTCTGTGCTCTGCTGTCCTCTGAAGATGCTGGCCACAGAGACTGGCGAAACGTTAGGAAGAACAACCTTCAGAACACAGCCAAAGAGCCCGAAAAACCCACAACAACCATTAGATGCCGGTCGTGAAAGCCTTCGCGACTACAGTACTTGTAGAATGTTCACTACCAGAAGTTGCATCTCTGTCTTGTTTAGAATTGATCATGTCAATGACATTGACACAAAGCAGAGAGCTGAAACTGTTGTGAGGAGGCCCTCATAGTGCCAAAGTAGATTTTAGGTGTGTCTTCATGTGAGGCTATAACCCATCAACAAAACCTCTGTGGTTGCTGCAAGCATGTACCTTGCTAATGGCTGGTTTTTTCATTCTCTTTCCTTTCTTTATTCAAATTAGGTTAGCTTAATTTAGGAAGAAAATAGTTCGCAGCCAACAGGGCCGTGGTGAGGAAACACGTGACTTGCCAGTATCTTCTCATGTTCAGGGTTTATGGAAAAATACTGTAGCTAGTATTTTTAAAAAATGCATGTAGCAGTATATATGAGAGCCATTGTGGTATTGTGCATACAGTGTCAGACTAGGACCCGGGAGACCTGATTTCAAATCTCAATTTAGCTGTAGAAATTCACCAGGATGGAATGTACAGTACAGTACTAAAACTGTTCCTTAAATAGCTCACATACCTTGAAAACCCTATTGCCATATGTTGAACGTGAACTGACAACATAGAACAACAGTATGTGTAACAGAACAAACACATTTTGCTTTACTGTCTGTCCATTGGACATTCCTCCTGTGCCAACTTTAATAATAATAATTGTGTGCTGTCAAGTCGACCCTGTCTTATGGGTTTTCTAGGTTGAGAATACACAGAAATAGTTTTTCTTCATCTGAGGGCACCCTGGGACTATGCAGCTTGCCTATGACTACATAGTCTGGCTCTTTTCCCAGGGGACACAGTGGGGAATTGAACTCCCAGTCTCTGGCTCTGCAGATATCTGGCTGCAGAGACAGGTATACACTGTGCTATCCAACCAGAAAAGAAAGTTTACTCTGATGTGGCCAAATGTCAAGTTGATATGTATACAGGATCTTCTTGAAACTACTATCATATTTTCTTCTTTTGATTTAAGGCTGACTAGTGGACTCAAAGTGATTTTATAATGGTTATTAAAAACATACTGTATATATTTCCATACTCTTTTTCTCTATAGCATAATTTCTGGCACTGTGTTTTGCATATCTTTTGTAAACTTTCTAATTCATAGCTCATTTTTCATAATCTGTATGAGTGATAATTTACATCATTATTGAGCTTATCGAGCGCTTTATAAATTGTGTTTTAATAACTGAAACTCTTTTAACTATTCTTTTATTCTTTTTCCCCAAGGACTCAGAATATTAATAGAAGAAGCCTGATTGCACTATCTGTTTCTAATGTTTTTTTCATGCTTCCATGGCAGTTTGCTCAGTTTGTTCTTCTGACACAGGCAAGATAATGAATTATAACTATTCAATTATAAGTGTATATCCCATTTTTTAAAATAACTCTTCCAGGCAGTGCACAGAAAAAAATATGCATATATTTAAGCAACTGCTAAAATTCTCATTATGAGTATATTCCTTTTCAAGTCCAGATTCAGTGAGAAAGTCACATCCAGCTAAAGAACAGGCCTGCTGAAGAGGGTGTTACTCATTGGCTCCCTTCAGGCTGTAGCCATTAATTTTTTCTGCTAGTATAGTGGGAGGATATGCATGTTATATGTATGGTTTTACAGGCAATCTTGAAGCATATCCTGAATTGCATGTTAGCATACATTAAAATAGTGTGAATAAGTCAAGTGATCATCACGTAGAGACCAATATTCTATTGATCCTCCACTGAATGTATTCATCCAGAATTACGTTCCTTGCACAAATGTGCAAGTGGTGATCACCATGAATAATGCCTGATGTCCATTTGTGAGCAGCGATACTTGCACAAATGGCATATTTCTGCTTTATTGTTCTGGTGGAATTTTCTGGTCAGCTACAATTCTGGAAGGGTATGGGCCATTTAACAAGAATCAAAGCCAGAATGTAATGTTAACTTTAACATGAAAGTTAATAGGTTTAAGATGCAGTTTTTATTCCCTACATTTCAGTAGACCTTGTGGAACTCTGTGGAACAAGTTTGGAGTAGACATGTATAGAATTCCACTGTTAATTATGATTTGGACTTAGTTTGATTAAATATAATCTGCTACTCTTTTCAGATGTTCCCCTCCACACAGCTATAATAATTTTGAATACGGCAACAGAGCTGTGACTGCTGGTCTCATGCTACTGTTATGTCTCTGACATGCCCCCCCCATAATGCTTACTAGCCACACTCCCCTGATGCTGGGGAAAATGTTTATAAAGATCTGAAGTATATGTTCAAACTCTAGCCATGGTTTGGGAGTCCTGATCATCAGACCTTGCCATAGGTAAAATATTATCTATTTTAAATAGGTGTTGCATCCTCTTTTTCTAAATGTTACTAAGATTGTCTTTGAAAGGCAAAGCATTATGAATGACTGTGCTTCATAGTCGTGGCTAATTTCTCCAGATTATTTGTAATACAACTGCTAATATCCAAGCTGTTGCTTTGGCATATATCAGAATTTGTATGTGTTGATAGAATTTGCTTTTAGTTACTTCACTCTTTTAAATTGCAGGTTGCATCCCTTTTTGGTGTATATATTTTAGGATTCATTGATTCATCCAAACTACAGAAGATACTTTATGCACATATGGTAATACTTAGTATTAATCTTGTTTCATATTTAGAAGTAAAGCCAGTTTCTAAAATTTAAGTAATTTTAGATGCAGGTTTGGTTTGTACTGAATCCTCAGCAGAGTATAATCTCTTTTGATGTAGCTAGTGCACACACAGCATATCCATACACATAATAATATCCTCACGCCATAGCCACACAGTTCATGCAACCTTGCAGCCCTAAGTTCTCTGGGCAGTAAGTGGGCGTGCTTTCAGCTATATGTTACTGGGAAAAGCTATAGTTGGGGTGTTCTTTCTGGCAGGAAGCAGAAAACAAACTTCCTGCATCTGCCAGATAGGGGCTAGGACAACTTTCCTGTTTGCCCTGGTCTTCCTCTCTGAGGCCTGTGGCCTCTGGCTGATGGCAATAGCCACCTTCCCTTCAGCTGTGCGATACCACACTGGACAAAGAAGGAGAATAATTTGCTTGGAGAATTGTTCTTATTAATAAATGGTATTGATATTAGGGGCTTCTATTATGTCCAGTCTTTCTCCCCATGTTTTGGACGTACCATCCAGCCTGGAGATTTAGAAAAGTTTCTTCAATACATTTTGACAATTCAGTTGGCTCATCAAAGATATTGTTACATTGTTGTTTCTGATTACTTTTTTCTAAATAATAGACTAATAAGGTTATCTACAAGTTTTCTTGACAATTTATAATTGAAACTGTGACCACAGTATACAGCTGGTAAGAGAAAAACCTTAGAAGTGTTTTTCAGATGTTTTGTTGTAATTACAGTCATGCCCTGCTTAACGATTACCCCTCATTACGACGAATCCGCTTCACGACAATGTTGCAATTGCAAAACAATGTTTTAAATGGGGTTTTTTTCGCTTTGCGAAGATCGGTTCCCTGCTTCGGGAACTGATTCTTCGCATTACAATGATCAAAACAGCTGATCGTCGGGTTTTCAAAATGGCCGCCGGGTGCTCAGAATGGCTCCCCGCTGTGCTTAGAGACTGTTTCCTCGCTATACAGGCACCGAAAATGGCCGCCATATGGAGGATCTTCGCTGGATGGCGCGTTTTTAGTCCATTGGAATGCATTAACTGGGTTTTAATGCGTTTCAATGGTTTTTTTAATTTCGCTTTATGACGTTTTCGCTCTACAGCGATTTCGCTGGAACGAATTAATGTCGTTAAGCGAGGCACCACTGTATTTGTGATACAGGTTAGATTGCACTGTCACAGTGAAATCTATAGGACTATGCATACTTACATATTCAGAGGTGAGGTCCATTAAATTCAGTAGAGTTTATTCCTAGGAAGGTGCGTATAGAGATGTCGTCTTAAAACAAGTTTTAGGTATATAAATGTTAAGTATAAATGTGGTACTATGACATGCTGGTGTTTGTGCTGGTTTGTTTATCATCCATGCAGTATTTAGCGCTTCAGAGCCCTGCCTCTAGCGGACACCCACTTGGAGACAGCAGCTGGGCTTCCCTGCCCTGCCTCCTCTAGGCACTGCCTCTGAGTGGGTGCCACCAGAAGATGCAGGGCTTTCAAGTGCTGAACACCAGGCAGTAAATAAATGGGCGGTTCGTGCCCATCTGTAATGGCAAGTGGAAGATGAGTAGGGATAAACTATAGTGGAAACAATATCACTCTCTATTTTGAACATTGTGGGGGATTTTTATTCTGAAGGATATTCCAGGAAGATAGATAACCATTATTTGCAGATAAAATAACGATAACGGACAAAGTTTTGTTGCATAATTATGCTGGCAAAAGGGCAGTGACATGGATAATAGCAGCAAATTGCTATTAATGACTGAGTCTCCAGTTGGGTTTCGAGAGTCAAAGTGAGGATTTGTTAAATTAGTGGAAATGTACCACTGCACCATAATGACATTGCCTTTCTTCAAGCATAGACAAACAAGATTTTGACATTTACCTTTAAAATGGTCTCAAGATACCACCACATATGTTTTAAAGTTTAGTGTAATTCTGTGTCTTCGGACTCATGCATTCTTTGGTACTTTAGCTATTACATTAAATTATGTTTGTATACTTGTATCCCTTTAGGCATCACTCGGAGTATGTTTTGTCCTTATGTTTGGAAACTCTATGTTGCTGACATCTTTTTATGCTGCTGCTTTGATAGTTAGTTGGGTAAGTTAGTAATGGAGTACTCAAGAATGTTTTGTCTTGCTGTACTGAATTATTGCAGTACTTCACAAGATGCTTAAGCATTTATTTATCTATTTTAGTGCAGCCTTTTGGGACAAAGCCTTACATGCAGACTTTCAGCTTAAAACACTCTGAATATGGTTTAAAACTGATTAACTTCATATATAGAATGGAATATTGTATTATGTACATTTGACTAACGGTTCTTTGATGGTGATGGTGATAGTAGAAGTTTTGCAATTTCAAATGATTTACAGTTCACTTGCAGTGTGTCTGTTCTAGGCGCCAGTGTCCTTCTATTACCCACCAACCTCTGCTCCATTTCAGTGTGCCTACGCACCAGAGTCTTTATGCCTTGCTCCATTTCCCTCCTTTTATGGTTCAGTGTTCAGCTTGTGCAATACTGTTTTAAGTGTGAAAAGAGTAGAGATTTGAAGAGCAATATGTGTGTAAGCTGTGTTTACTGTCCAGCCCTCAGATATAAAGGAGGGACATGAAATGTCATTCTTCTCCCTCTGATGGCCATGTCAACTGGTAGCTTGCAGGTAGGGTATCAACTGGAACTGTATCTTAGCTCCCCCTCCAGGGGAGCCATTTCCAGTTCAAAATTAAACATGTGTCAAAACTTGTGGCACATTTTTCAATGAATAAGTGGGGCTCCTTGTGAATATGCCCATTCATATAAGAAATTCTGGACACACTGTGGGTCTGTATGCCATGACTTAATCGTGGATGAAGATTTACTGCTCTTATGAGCCTCGTGACGCAGTGGTTAAAACGCTGTACTGCAGCTAAAACTGTGCTCACGACCTGGGGTTCAAATCCCAGGTAGCCGGCTCAAGGTTGACTCAGCCTTCCATCCTTCCAAGGTCGGTAAAATGAGTACCCAGCTTGCTGGGGGGGCAATGTGTAGCCTGTATAATTAAATTGTAAACCGCCCGGAGAGTGCTTGTAGCGCTATGGGGCGGTATATAAGTCCAATAAATAAATAAATAAATAAATAAATAAATAAATAAATAAATAAATAAATAAATAAATAAAAACATAATGATATATGTAAGAATCCAGTTTTATCAGCTGAAACCCTTTTAAAGATCCACTCACACCAGTGACTCCTGTCACTTTTTCAGGATCACCCTATCAACACTGCTGTCTCTCTCACATATACACTTGTATAATAGATTCAAAACAAACACACAAAACATACAGGACCCATTACACTCCATAGCCCTGGCCTTCTTCCTCCCCCCATCATGTTCAGTTACCTTGATCCCAGGCCTGGTCAACCTTCTTCCAGCTCTCACTATGTTGTCTCTAGCATTCACCTGGGTCATTCCCAGTCTCATTCTAAATAATTCCATTGCCATATTCAGTCTTCCTCCCAGTTTACCAAATGTGAATAATAGGATCTTCCTTTCCTTTTTGCAGAGGATAACTGAGAGTTTGTCAAAGCAAAACACAGGCCTCTAGCTCACTATCATCTGACTTCTGACAAAAGTGTCTGGTTCCATGTATGGTCCAGAAACATTTTGGGAATAAAGATGGAAGGCAGATAGAGCCTATTCTCTCTTTTCTTAAACAGTTTCTAGGCTGTCCTGTAACAGGGATCTAACACAAACTGCTTTTAGATCTTAATCCTAAGATTAGACTTACTTGCACAAAATTTCTCACAGCTGCATGCAAGATATATAAAGATTTAATAGTTATTATTTTAAGCTATAACTTTCCTTTAACTCTTTTTTCCTCTGTTTTAGCATTGTGACTGCCTTATAAATTTAACCTTTATTATGTTCAATGTCTTTTGCTGGTCACGGGCTGTAATAATAAAACTAAACTGAACCTAAACTAAACTACAGATTTCAGTAGAGCAGTTTGCAGGTGCAGGAGGAGGTATCTTCAGGTTCAGTGCATAATGCATTATCTACCACTGAATTAGATATGGGCCTAGGTTCAGAAAGCAGTGATATTCAGATAAGAAATGTTGTACCTTCTGAGCTCATGTATTTGCAGGGAAAAAGTACATAAGTAATGGAAATATACATTTTGTTGACTTTCTCTAAGCCTGCAGCCTTCAATGAAATCCCCTTCTCTTCAAGACCTGTTCTGGATTCCAGTGCATTGCTCTGGATAGGTGTAGATTTCATATTGTCTCCTTTTGGGGATATATGGTTATCAAAATCTTTATAAAGCTTTGTCTCTCAGCAAATAATGACTCTGGTGGTTCCTAAATGATTTAAATATTTTCTATTCTCTGTAATAAGTAATAAGCAGTAGATATGGGTTACAAAACAGGGACGTGGTAGCGCTGCGGGTTAAACCGCAGAAGCCTCTGTAATGCAAGGTTGGAAGACCAGCAGTCGTAAGATCAAATCCACGCAATGGAGTGAGCTCCGGTCGCTTGTCCCAGCTCCTGACAACCTAGCAGTTCGAAAGCATGTAAAAATGTGAGTAGATAAATAGGTACCACCTCAGTGGGAAGGCAACAGCGTTCTGTGTCTAGTCACGCTGGCCACGTGACCACTGAAACTGTCTTCGGACAAACGCTGGCTCTATGGCTTGGAAATGGGGATGAGCACGGCCACCTAGAGTCGCATATGGCTGGACTAAATGTCAAGGGGAACCTTTACCTATGAATTACAAAAGAAACAGAAGTTGCTTTATTATTTACATATGTCTGAGTCCTCACCATCTTCCAGATAGTAGTCACTTGATTACAAGTTATGTTAATATTCAATTACAAATCTGTGCTAAACTTTGAAATACAGTGGTGCCCCGTATAGCGGTTACAAATCTGTGCTAAACTTTGAAATATATCTTCCCCTGAACTCATACACAATCCTTCTAAGCTGTGTTTTTCTGATTGCCTTTCCCAGTCCCCATATATCTCTTTTATGCTCAGAGTTCCAAACAGTACCTCTCAGCCAGACTCATTCTGCATGCAGATATGCAGTCTCTGCCATTCGTTGCACCTTGTCAATCATTTCACATGTCTTGCAATATTTACCATCTTAATAGACTGTACAGAAAAGCAAACCCACATTATATTGCAGTACTTGGAAATTTGTCAGTTGAACTAAAGGAAGAATGCAAGTAGTGGAACTGGGAGACAGGTTCAAGAGGCAGTAGGGTGTGATAGTTTGAGATCATAAACCTGTCCTTGTGGAAAGCTCTTCTTGTCCATTTTTAAAAAGGTATAAGTATGCTTAGCCTATTCTTTGCTGTCGTATGATCTTGTGGCTATTGGTTTCCAATTTAAATATATATATGTTTGGGCTACCAAAGATAAATTATGCATGTGCAAATAATTTACAATGACATATAGTGGGCCCTGTCTTGCATGATTAACAGTACAGTGATTTACCATATTTTTCTTTGTATAAAACAATACTTTTTCCTTAAATAATTAGAAATAAAATTGAGGGTTGTGGAATGCAGCTGCTTTCCCTGCCTTTTGCGAAGCCAGGAGGCTTAGCAAAAAGGAAGGGAAGACTCTCTTTGGATAAAGCAGTGATGAAAGGGCTGCACGATCACAACCCTTTGATCCTGAAGCCCTTTCATGGCTGCTTTACCCACTTCCTAAGCCCTGCAGAGCTTAGGAAAGCAACCATGAAAAGGCTTCAGGATCAAAGGGCTGCAATCATGCAGCCCTTTCATGGCTCCTTTACCCTAAGGGAGCCTTCCTTTCCTTTTTGCTAAGCCCTGTGGCTTCACAAAAGGCAAGGAAAAAAGACAGTCACATTGACAGGCCACTTTGAAACCACAAGGCTTAGCAAAAAAGCCCCGGGACTTTGCAAAAGGCAAGGAAAAGCAGCTGTCAAAGGGAGCCCTTTGATCCCTGCTTTTCCCTTCCTTTTGCTAAGCTCCGTGGCTTAGCAAAAGGAAGGGAAAAGCAGGGATCAAATTTTCTCATTCAGGGTTAGAAGGGGGGGCTCGTCTTATAAATGGAAAGATATGGTAGTCACAGGATTCAGAAGTGGCAGTAATGAATGATGGGTGTCAATTTGGTGATTATGCACATTTAGATTAATACTTAAAATGTTAGCTTTAAGTATCATACATTCTTCACAGATTTATATTTATTGCTTTATCCTTGTGGACAACAGTTCAGGAAAATATGTAAATATTGCTGATTTAACACTATTATTGAACAATTTCATTAATTTAGGGCATTTTGGAATTTGGTCCGAAGTACCTGAAACTGCATAGAAAAAATGTTCCTCTATGGGTAAGGATTGACACTTTTTGGTGTAAATATTATTATATGTACAGAATGTACAAGGATCCTGATCAATAATGTTTCTACAAAAATCAAATAGTTGCATGAAAAAATATTGTTTTTTAAATACTGAGGATACTAGAGGTAGAGACCCAAATCTGGCCCCTTTCATTCATATTATGAAGTTTCTGGGCCACCAGTGATGAAGATCAGGGAGCAGAAGAATAGTATCCACCAAGTACAAGCTTACCATCTTTGCACCCATCATTGTAATTGGCATTTTGGTAGGACTATAATATTAGGCATATGATTCAAATAAGTCTAACGTGGTTTCATCCTTCCATACTGGAGCACTGTTTCATTAAATGCTGCACTACTGCTTCTGTTCCATTTGAATATGTCCATTTTACAGGCCATTGAAGGATTTGCATGTCTCTTTGGAACCATTACCTTGAAGTCCTTGATGTGTCTGATATTTGGAATAACTGATGATGTAAGTAAGAACATCACTACATTATACATTTGATTTTCAAATCTTTATTTCATGTAATACAAACGTTTCAGATTGGATACACCAGCCATTGGATTCTGATGGAACAATTCTAAGTGCAACTTACTTTAGCGATTTACTATGCTAAGCAACAGGATTTTGGCCACTGTCTGTTATCATAATGTTACCAATCTAAATCTCAACAACAGGAACACAGTTTCCCCTCATAGTCTCTGTCTCTTGATGAATCTGTCCATTATCTTACCCTATTTTTCCATGCCAAAACCCTATCTGGTACTTGTAAGCTAACTTTTAATGCAGTGGTTCCTAACCTTGGGTCCCCAGATGTTCTTGAACTAAAACTCCCAGAAGCCTACAGCACTAGCTATGCTGGCAAGGATTTCTGGGAGTTGTAGTCCAAGAACATCTGGGGACACAAGGTTGAAAACCATTGTTCTAGTACCTTAGCACCTCCCCTTCTCACTCTGAGCCAGTCACCATTCATATATATTGAAACATATTCCCCATCAGGCATTCCACATTTTCAATCACTTTTCATACATACCACTGACAATACCCAACACATTACATTGCAGTACAAAGACACAAACTATAATATGTGTAATATTATGAGAACATCTGATCTGTTGATCATACAAATAAAATTTGAATATTATAAGACTTGTATATATTTCAGTGAGCAGTACTCCCCCTTGCATTCCATGCACTACTTCTAGAATTCGAATAATTAAAACAACAAATATAAATTCTGTCTAGAGTTTGGCTTTCAATTTCATATTTGTATGGCTTCTTATTTGCTTCCTATTAAGTCTGTGTAACTAGGACATATTGCCCACTTAGGTGGGAGTCAGCCCTCTATGAAACTGAGTTGCAGCATCTGGCTGTAGAGCCAGGGAGCAGGAAGTCAAATCCCCATTGCACCTCCTGAGAAAGGGGCTAGTAGCTATCACCCTGAGCATATGTGACTGAGGGGGTGAACAAGAGGAATATGGTGCTCACCCAAATAACCCAACTAAGATAACCCGTGTAAAGTGGCTAAATATAAATTCTTTACAATACCTATATATTACAAGACCATACCAATTTCAATATTCAATCATTACAGAGTCTATTCAGGTCCAATCATTTGGGAAGCTGAGAGATCTTGCTCAAGTATGATGTGTGGCTCATGCTCTAGAAGACTTGGATCTGGATTTTAAGTCCACACATTTCTTTATATTGACATTTTCTTGGCAAAAATCTTCAGTTTTTTTAATTGGTACTTTAAGAGGTCGCAGCTAACCCAACTATTTGCATGAAAACAAGTTTCACTTTCTTTCTCAAAGTTGGGGCTGTAGGATTTTACTGGAAAAAAATCTAAAACATACAAAAACTTATTTCCAGAACATCACCAAACAGTATCTATTACAGCCTTGTTTTCACTAACTCACTCTTCATAACCACCCAACCTACCGAGAACCACTCACCAGATAGCGGTTCACATCTATTCTCGCAAACTTCCCGAGAACCGCTCACCAGATAGCGGTTCACATCTATTCTCAAATACCCTCAGATCACTTGATCACAGCTGTTCAACTACTTCAGCAGAGAATCTTAAAGTTGCAGTATAGATATGGTCAACACGTTACAAACGATTCCTTATTCCTACTCATAAAAAGCATGTTTTAGGTCTTTTTCTGGTAAAGACCTACAGCCCCAGTTTTGAGAAAGAAAGTGAAACCTGGTTCTTTTTTGTGGTGTCCATATATGCATACAAAATGGGCATGTGTGCCTGCAAGACACTCTTCGGAGAGTTTCAGAGCCTCGAAAATGGAAGTGCTTTCCTCAGTCCTTTTTTTGTCTGCCGCTTCATGAGGAGGCATTACCCCACATTACAACAGCTACAGACATATGATTGGACCTTTCATCCATCTTGGGATGCTATTACTTTGGATGTATGGGTCCTCAACATCATAACCTACGGATATGCTATAGAGTTTTCCATTGGCCATGTCCAACACACTCCACCTTCCCCTGTCCTCCAGGAGGAGATCCATATGCTCCGAGCAAAAGGAACCATCTGAAGGATATCTTCACATTCCTGATGGCTTCTTCTCCCAGTACTTTACCACACCCAAAAGGAATGGAGGGCTATGCCCCATCTTGGAATTGTGTGGCCTAAACAGGTTTATCTCTCCAAAACATTTCAGGATGGTGACATTACAGTCCATTCTCCCCCTGCTGCACTGGGGAGATTGGTTTGCATCCATAAACTTTCAAGATGCATACTTTCATATCTCAGTTCACCCACAGCATCATGATTTCCTAAGCTTCTTTGTTGGCAATCAGGCCTGCAACATCTGTGCACTTCCCTTTGGACTGTCCACCAACCCAAGAATTTTCAGCAAGTACATGACACCAGTGACATTTCTCAGAACCCAAGGTGTCACCATCTTTCCCTACATTGATTATTGGCTCTTTGTAGCACACAAAAAGGGCATTCTAGCTACCAACATTACATACACCCTCAAGGCTTGGGCTACAAGTCAGTGCAGAAAAGTCTCACCTCATTCCATCAGCTACATTGGAGCACTTCTCAATGCTAAAACTGTGGGGGTCCTTCTGCCTTAGCCACAGATAGACACTATCATCTGGTCCACCCAGAGGCTAACTCAGGCTCCACACAGTATGAGTATTAGGCCTCATGGCTTCCACAATGGCAATCTTACCACATTCCAAACTGTGGATGTGGCCACTACAATCCTTCTGCCTTCTTGCCTACAATGACAAGCAGAACCCACCAGAAAAAAAATTGTTTCCTTCACCTCAGGTGACAACTGTGATGGTTGACAACCGAGAACCGCCTCCTCCTTGGTGTCCCCTTTCACCAGCCATATCCCTCCTGTCTTATACTTGCAGATGCCAGCACAACAGAAGGGGGAGCACTGCTGCCACAAAGAGGTACAAGCCACATGGCCTGCACACAACAGAACCCATCAAATCAACATCCTTGAACTTCTGGCCATCCTCAAGGCCTCCAAGCCTTCAAAACCATGATACAAGGCTGTACTATTCAAATTGCCACAGGCAACACCTTCAACAAACAGAGGAACCAAGTCACTCAGCCTCCTCTACTCAGGACTTATATGGCAATAGTGTATTGCCCACCAGATTCTCCCCTTGGCAACTTATGTCTCAGGTACAGACAACAAAATGACAAACCATCTCAGCTGCACAGTGATACTCATGCACAAGTGGTAACTCACCCAAAAAGTATACGCTCAGCTACTTTCTTGCTGGGACAAGCCTACCATCGACACCTTTGTCAATGTTGCCAACTCTAAATGCCCTTGTTATTGTTCCTGAGTAGGCAGGGGTGTGAACTCTCTTGGGAATGCTTTCAGTATACACTGGACTGGAACCCTCCTCTGCATTTTCCCACCCTTCCTTCTGATCCAGTGGATTGCTGTCCAAGTTGTCCAAGAATGCTCAGCTGTGATACTCATCACCCCATGGTGACCTTGTCAGCAGTGGCTTACCACTCTCCTCTTCACTATGACTGACCAGTGATGACTACCCCCAGACCAAGACCTCCTCTGTCATCACCAGGGCAGGGTACTCCACCCAGATGTCACTTACCTGAACGTCACTGCCTGGAGGATATGCCTTTCTTTGCAAGCCAAGCAAGACTGGCTATATGCATATAAGTGGAAGTTTTTCCAGCTGTATACATCCTCACAGGGTCTGCCACATTCACCAGCATCCCTCTTCACTGTCTTAGCCTTCGTTCTCCACCTCAAGCAAATGGGATTTTCAATCTCTGCTATCAAGGCCTGACAGCCATAGTGGTGCATCAACCAGCTGACCACCCATCCTCACATTTCTTCAAACATCAAACTGTTAAAACATTCTTCAAGGGCCTTCAGAATGCCTGTCTAGATTTAAAACCACCTCATGACCCATGGTCTCTCCCACTGGTTTTATTACAGCTCACTAAAAACCCTTTCAAACCTCTGGTGACAACTGATCTCTGTCTTATAATACTTAAGTTGGCACTCCTTGTGGCCCTCACATCGGCCCATTGGGCCACTGAGCTTAGAGCCCTTCGCTGTGATTCCACTACCTCATCTTCTCACATGATAAGGTTACTCTCCACACGAACATTACCTTCCTTCCCAAGGTTGCATCTTGTTTCCACATCTCTCAACCCATCATCTTACCTGTCTTCCCTCCATCTTCACAGAATGACCTGGAACAGTCCCTTCACTCCTTGGACGTCAGATGAGCCTTGACCTTTTACCTAAATAGAACATAGGACTTTAGACAAACAGATAAACTCTTCACTTCCTACCAAGCTCCCAAAAAGGGACACACAGTTTTGTTTCAAAGATTCTCCAAATGGATCTCAGGCTATTGCCTTTGCTTATAAACTGGCAAATGAGCCCCTACCTCGGATCTTCAGCAGTCACTCCACAAGAGCCATCTCCTCCTTCATCCAAAGTGTCAACATCCAAGAAACCTGTAGAGCAACAACTTGGTCCTGTCCAAGTGACATTTGTCACACACTACGGATTAGATCCCAGAGCTCAAAAGGATGCTGCTTTTGCACAAGCTGTCCTATCCTCTACTTGGCGTAACTCCCACCTCCATGTTATAGCCTGCTACTCACCCATTTTGTGTGCATACATGGACGCCATGAAAAAGACTTGGTTACTTACATAGCTATGTTTCTTTGAGTTGTGATCCATGTATCCACACAATCCTGCCCTCTTGTTCCACCCTTCTCTATTCTTCCTTGTGGACAATTGGGACTGCAGAAAGGGGGGCATGCTTGTGCAGTGTAGGCTAAGGCACTTTTGTTTTTGAGGCTCTGGAACCTTCCAAAGCAGTGTCACGCAGGCACACATAGCCATTTTGTGTGGATACATGGATCACCACTCAAAGAACCATAGTTGCGTAAGTAATCTAACCAAGTCTTTTCATGCAAGCAGCCAGGTTAACTGGGATCTCTTAAAGTACCAACTAAAGAACTGAAGCTTTTTCTCAAGGAAATTTTGATCTACTGATCTTGGGCAAGCTGCATGGCCCCAGAGCACCACAGAAGAAAGGACTGGTAAACTACTTCTGAGTGCCTTGCACCCAGAAAACCTTGAAACATTTGCCATGAATAAGAATTGGCTTGATGAGACATAATTGTGTTATCATTGTTAAGTTTACGGTATTGCCTACATAGCCAATGAAAATGAAGTAAACTCAATTATAAATAAAAGTAACAACTTTAAAATGAGCAAAACATAATATATTATAATAAAACAATTACAGACAATTGAATAAAATGACAGATTTGGCATGACATGTAAACAATAGTGATGATGGTGCCAGGCAAATCTCCCTGAACATGGAATTGGGCTTGGATGTAATCAGAAAGTGGCCCTCTTTCTGGTTGTTACCTGCTTCACTTCCAAAGAGGGAGATATCTTAAGCTCTGCCAATTAAGTTCTTGATTGACAGAGAAGTTTGTGTTTGATTTTTTTTTAGATTATGAAGGTTAAATACTGGGAAGAGATGTTCATCGTGGCAAGTTCCACTTAATAAACAAGCACCTCTGTTCTGAAAAAGTTAAAAGTTTTTTTTTTAATTTAACACATCCTAAGGACAGCCCTATCTATGTATTGTGATCAGGAAGCCTGGGCATTACCCAGTCATAAATCATTTCTGGCATAGCAGCCCTAATCAGGGAATAATTTTTGTGCTGTAGATGCCATTTGAGTGCTGTAATAAAGCTTGCTCTGGAAGCACTGTGAAGTTGCAAGCCTTATATTAATGACTGTGCCTCTGCAGTACAGGTCAGCTTTTATCTTTGTAGTCCAGGAACCGCATGTAAACTGTTTTTATTCAACTTCTTATTATGACTTCTCATCTAGACCATTATATAGACATAAATTCATGTATTTTAAAAATGTATGCCAGTTGTTCTCCAAGGAGTTCAGCATGGTTAAACATCCTGCCAAAAACAAGACCTTACTTACATAGAACAGACATTTCTGAGCATGATTTTTAAAATCTTACATATAGTGATATCTTGATAATCATATTCAAAAATCCTAAGACTTGATTTTCCAATTTTTGCATCGTGAACTGCATGAAAGAGGAACTGAAACATATGCATAGCCTATTGAATTCAAAATACCTTATTGCTAGCACTGCAAATCAACTGTTTGTCTGCAATTTCCCATTACTTCTTTCTTAGTCATGAACCACTTTAGGTTTTGTAACATAATCTGAAGTCTATATTTTTTGCAAGTGTGTGAAATGTGATTAAAAAATAATAATAATAATATGTCTAACAAATATTCTTACTGTTTTCTTCTTATTAGGCTCATATAACCAATCTTTTAAAGGCAAAATTTACTAGTTATAGAGATTTTGATACATCAATGTACACCTGTGCTGTGGAGTTTGGTTTCTTGAGTATTGAGGTAATTTAAATTTGTTGATAAGAAAAATAATAGTTTTTTAAGCTTTGCTATTTTAAACAAAATTATTTTGTTAATTTGTGGCTGTGTTGCTGTTTTCTTACAAGACAAAATTGAGTCTTTTAACTTTTTATAAAGAAGCTAGGTAGAATAGAATGCTTCCAGATTTGAGTGGCTTCATAGGATGACTGCATGGTGGTTCTGTGTTCTTGAATGCAACCATGTTTCTTACCCTGTCCGTATATCTGTTAGGAGTATGAAATAGAGAACCTTGAGAAAAAATTACTGACATATATTCTTCAGATTTGCAATGGCATAGTAAACAGAAATATCAGTGTGAAGACAAATATTAATATAGTTTGCCATTGGGGTTAAGCTTTTTCATTTGCCTTTGTCTGTTGATGATCACCCTTCCATGACAGAGGAAGTCACAAGTTTTGGGCAACATTTATGTAAATCATAACATGCCAGAATTAATTTTGTTAACTTTTAAGAGAGTTTTGCCTGAGGGCTGTATTGGGTATGTAGGTCTACATTTCAGACTCAGGAAAAAAAACCTACATTATTTTGTTCTCTTGCTTTAGCGCCTTTGGTGTGTTCCATTTACTGACATTGCAGTAGCTTTGTTTGCTAATCAATGTAAAGAAGGTTTTATTAGCTGAGAATAATGTGGAATCTTGCATACTCATACAGAAGATCACTGTTTTATCTAATGTAATATTAATTAGAAATGGGTATGAATTAAAAAACAATTCACCAAATTCATTCAAAAATTGAATGATTCTTTGATTCATATTGGTACGAATACGATTCAATTGTTAGGTTTTTTTTAATAAAATGTCTGTTTGTTTGTATATAAAATACCCACCACCACCTAGAGACACCAAAATTGCAGGGAAGTGTCCTCTGATTTTCCTTTACAAGCCAGCTACTAAAGGGCACTTTCGTGGGGTGAGCACTTTGTAGGTATATAGCTTGTATGTCTGAAACCCAGTCTTCACCAAACTTGGAGGAATTGTAGACGAGTGTCAGCAGTTTCTCTGTGAATTTGGTGTCTCTAAGTGCCTGGGTGGAACTTTCCTGGGGGGGGGGCGTCCTTGTGGGTTTATGACTTCGACATCCAAACCCCAATCTTTACTAAGTGTGCAGGGTTTGTAGATGAATCTTGCATATTCATACAGAAGATCACTGTTTTATCTAATCTAATATTAATTAGAAATGGGCATGAATTAAAAAACAAAGATGAACTGACAAATCATTTTGTCAAGTTGTCAGAAAAAAACAAATTTGTGATTTGTCAATCTTGACAAATCATGTATCAAAACAAATTACAGTGGTGCCCCGCATAGCGAGGTTAATCCATTCCGGATTAACCTCGCTATGAGGAAACATCGGTAAACGGGACGCAAAATGCCATTGGAACGCGTTAAACGTAGTTTAATGCGTTCCAGTGGCTTCTATACTCACCTTTAAGCGAAGTTTCCTCATAGCGCTGCCATTTTCGTGCCCTCGGTAAGCGAGGGCAGGGAGCGAAAATGGTTGCGGCGGCCATTTTGGGTCGTCCGGCGGCCATTTTGGAGCTGGAACTTTCCTGGGGGGGGGGCGTCCTTGTGGGTTTATGACTTCGACATCCAAACCCCAATCTTTACTAAGTGTGCAGGGTTTGTAGAGGAGAGTCAGTGAAAGCTTCCCTGCAAGTTTAGTGTCTCTAGGTGTTTGTGGGGCTGTTTTAAAGTAAAAGATGAACTGACAAATCAATTTGTCAAGTTGTCAGAAAAAAACAAATTTGTGATTTGTCAATCTTGACAAATCATGTATCAAAACAAATTACAGTGGTGCCCCGCATAGCGAGGTTAATCCATTCCGGATTAACCTCGCTATGAGGAAACATCGGTAAACGGGACGCAAAATGCCATTGGAACGCGTTAAACGTAGTTTAATGCGTTCCAGTGGCTTCTATACTCACCTTTAAGCGAAGTTTCCTCATAGCACCGCCATTTTCGCGCCCTCGGTAAGCGAGGGCAGGGAGCAAAAGTGGTTGCGGCGGCCATTTTGGGTCGTCCGGCGGCCATTTTGGAGCCGCCGAACAGCTGATTTCCCGGCATCGCAATGTGAAGATCGGTAAGCGAAACGCTTACCGATCTTCACAATGCGAGTTTTGGCCATAGAGGCCATCGGTTAGCGATCTCAAAAAAGAGATCGCTTTGCGATTTTATCGTTATACGGTGCGCTCAAGCGAGGCACCACTGTACAGTTTTTGATTCATGGTCATCTTTATTAATAACTTCATAAGTTACTATACACTGGTGCCTCGTTTGTGGGGCTGTTTTAAAGTAAAAGATGAACTGACAAATCAATTTGTCAAGTTGTCAGAAAAAAACAAATTTGTGATTTGTCAATCTTGACAAATCATGTATCAAAACAAATTACAGTGGTGCCCCGCATAGCGAGGTTAATCCATTCCGGATTAACCTCGCTATGAGGAAACATCGGTAAACGGGACGAATACAACAGTAGAACACAACTTGGGCATAGGTTTCGGGGGGGAATTGGACTACACATGTTTTTGTGTATGTTGAGGAAAAACCTGACAAATAAGAATACAACAGTAGAACTGAACTTGGGCATAGGTTTGGGGGGGGATTGGACTACGCATGTTTTTGTGTATGTTGAGGAAAAACCTTATATCTTTGAGCACACTTCTTTTTTGTGGCAGAATGAAACCTGAGGTTTGTGGAACACAGGGGTTCAAAATTAGAAGAGAACAGTGGTTTCTGGGGAGGTATTGGAGTCTGGGTTTGTAGTGAACACTGCTACATATGGGCTGTATAGGTGCCTTTGAGAACACAGGAGATTAGGGAGTAGTCCCTGCTTCTTTGATATACAGTATATAAAAAATTCTTGAACTACTATGCAGTATTACTTTTCCATCATTGTTTCTTTGCAAAGAAAAACATCCTTTAATGAATTCATAAGGTCATTTTAAAGAGTTAAACTCGTGTTTTATTTCAAACCAGGTTATTTCAAAAATAGAAACTTATAGCTGAAACATTTTAATCAAATTGTGTGCCATTGATTGCATTAATCCTGCCAAAATTTAAATTGAATCTAAAATGAAAAGAGATAAAGAAGTAACCTGATAAAGAAGTAACCATAGTGGTTTGAATTTTTAAAACGCCATTATTTATTAGTTCATAATATTCTTTTATGTGGCCGTAAATCAGAAAGGTGTATGAAGCATTTAATGTCTATTTTCAATATGCAATATAACACTTGTGGCTACAGTCTGTAGGTCTGAATATACTACAGGGGCTTAAGGGCTGTTGGGTCTATTTGCCCAATATATCCATTACTTTATTTATGGATGATTGTTGTGCAGCACCCAAGAATACAGAAATTAATTAAAACCTTGCAGAAGACTGAAATATTAAAGGCCAAACTGAACTCTACACTAAAACAAAATGTCAGTTTTAATTCCCTCTAATATTTACAGAGTTCTTCCTTACTTTACCCACCAGTGACAGCTAGTGATAGGGAACAGAAGGGGATTCAACATCTTGTACAGTGGTGCCTCGACTTACGAACTTAATCCATCCCAGAAGATGTTTGCAAGTTGAAATATTCTTAAGTCGAATGAGCATTTCCTATTGGAATGCATCGAAATCCGATTAATCCATTTTGGCTGTTTTTTGTTTGTATGTAGAGGTGCTGGTTGTACATCGAAGCATTCGTTCCCATAGAAGGAATTAATGCAAAACCAGTTAATCTGTCCTCTACCACTAGGGGAGAATTTATTTATTTTTTAAACCTAATATGACTTAGGTTTAAAAAAGGGCAGGAAAGGAGGGAGGGAACAATGGGGAAAAGAGGAAAGGAGGTCATCACTGGGGCACACAGACCCCTCAGACAAAAGTTTGTGCTTTTAAGTACAAAAAGAGAGAAGACACACAGAGAGAAGACAATGGTGGGGGGGGGAGTTTGGAGTCTAAAATACATTTTAAATCCACACATTTTATAGCAACACATTGTGTGTGTGTGGGGGGAGTTTGGAGTCTAAAATGCATTTTAAATCCACACATTTTATAGCAACACATTTTAAAGAAAACCAAGCAGTCAAATTCCATTTTAGAGCACAACAGTCAGCACAGACCCTTGCAAAAATTTTCTGATTTTAAAACCAAAAGACTAAAATCCATTTTAGAGCACACCAGCCAGCACAGACCCTTTCAGAAAGGGTCTGCAAGACCCATCAGAGCACAGAAACATAACAACTCCACCTAGCCCAAATCCAAAAATCAAGAATTACTTCACCTAGCCCAAATCCAAAAATCAAGAATTAAAAAATCCCCCCAAAATATAGTACGTACAGTACTAAGCAGTACCAGGCAGTCTGACGTCTCTCTCAGTATCCACACACCCTAACCGCTGGGGTGAATGAGGCAGCAGACAAGCAGAACTGCTGGGGTGAATGAGGCAGCAGACAAGCAGCCTCTTTGCTGACCATTGGTTAACTGAAAGTTCAAATTCCCTGCTTTCCTTGTGGTTTTTTTTCCCTGTTCGTAAGGCAAATCTCCGGTCACAAGTCAAAGCAAAATAACTGCTGGGGTGAATGAGGCAGCAGACAAGCAGCCTCTTTGCTGACCATTGGTTAACTGAAAGTTCAAATTCCCTGCTTTCCTTGTGGTTTTTTTTCCCTGTTCGTAAGGCAAATCTCCGGTCACAAGTCAAAGCAAAATTTTGCAACTGTTGTGGGTTTTTTTCTGTTCGTAAGGGAAATCTCCGGTCACAAGTCAAAGCAAAATTTTGCAACTGGAACTGTTCGTAACTCGAAATGTTCATAGGTAGGGGTGCTTGTAAGTTGAGGCACCACTGTACTATGACACAAAGCTTTTTTTTTCTAAACATAACACAAACAATCACTAGTAGTTACTATTTTTGGCAGTAACATAAAATTGGATGTTATTTTTAGTATCAAGTATTTTTTTCTAAACATAACAGAAACAATAACTATTTTTGGCAGTAACGTAAAATTGGATGTTATTTTTAGTATCAAGTTGGCAGTGACAGTCACAGTCATGTAACAGTGGATGTAAGAATACAAGTAACAGTTTAGCTTTCCTCCCAGACTTCATGCTTTCCAAATGTTTTGGGCTACAAAAGCCATGCTGTGCCCCACATGGTTAATGATCAAGAATGATGGGAATTGCAGTATAAAGCATCAATACTACACCAGTTTGAGGATTAATGTTTTAAGCAGACAAGGGGTGACACACAGGGTTTTTCTTTATGTTCTCCAATCCTTTTTGTTTTGTGTTTTATTTGTCAGGACCTAATTATGCAAAGCACCAATCTGTTTGCATGCCATTTCTAATCTGGTTAGTCATAGCCAGTTCTGATACCTTGCTTATGTCTGACCTGTGTGTGCTTAATAGTAGTATAAAATAATTGTGTGATTGTGTAATGCTTTGAAATTAGATAGTACATTATGTGGAATTTTGGAAAGTTGTTCCATAGCATTTTCACATTGAAAATTGGCTGAATTTCTGTTATTCAGATTTAGGCTGCATAAGACTGATAACATCAGCAGCAAAGGCAATATTTTGGAAATTAAACATTTCTGACTTCTCTCTTGAAGCTCCTTTGTAATCCTTTTCATTGTCACAAAGCTGTGGGAACCAGGGGATTGTTTTCTTTAATTACTGAAAATTGCAGCAGCCAGTTAAGTCACCTCTCTCAGTAGCAGCAATTTTCAGCAATTAAGAACTCCTCCTTCCCATCTCACAGCTCCCATAAATTCTTGATGATGAAAGGGATTACATGAGAATCTGAGGAGCTTCAGAAGACAAATAGGAAATGTTTAATTTCTGAAAAATTGCCACTGATAAGGATGCAATCAAGTCTTGTGCTATATAAGTTACACAATAGGATTTCAGCCATTATGTAAACTTTGTACACCTCCTACAAAGATGGTAAAAAAAAATCTTAAAGTGAACATATATATTTTGGACACAGAAAGGTGAGATAAATGTTTGTGTGATACTAGAAGTTGTTAGTTGTCTCAGAAGAAGCAGCTGTATGTAAAGTTTCTAAACATAAAATTTACTGCCTGTTTAAACTGTCCATTTCAGACTCCAATAAACTACATGAAGACACTGCTGCTCCCAGTTGTTCTTGTTGTTTTTTCAGTAATCGTTGTGAAGGTAGGTTATTGCTGGTTTATGTTTAGCATGCATTGTATATCGAATGGATGCAATGAAATTAGAGTACACTGAATGCAGGTTTAGTTCATGTGATACTAAAACATCATCCAAAAGGGAATGATCTTCCTATGCACAAGTGCTGCTAGGGTTGAGATTCCACAGTCCAGAAAGGGCCCCAAACGACTCCTAGATGTTGTTAGCCCATCACAGCATTCACAGAAAAAGAAAGTGCTATGTAGATGAGCCCATCATAAGAAAAGCCACAGCATTCACAGAAAAAGAAAGTGCTATTATGGCCGGCCAGCTGGAGTGACAGCCATGCATTGTCATTTTAATTTAGGTTGTTTTTCCAACTAAGTGGCAGTCAGTTGAACCAGTTAGACAGTAGCGTGGGTGACATTGGTACCAATGAAGTGACTGGGCCAATGATAAGCACTCTTGTTCTCGCCTGCTCCTACTTTCTCAAGACAGCATCTGATTTTGTTCAGTTTGCTTTCCCTTTCTGACTTGGAAAAATAGTTCACTTTTAAATAGTACGCTGCTTGGTAGACAGGCTGAAGCAGCACTTACCTTTTTAACTGTTTAGTCCTATCAGCCAGCAGAAAGTAGGAGGAAGAATATTGTTTGTGTTGCTGCTGTTACATTACTGAGCTGTCATGGAGCACTGGCATAGCAGGGGAGTGAACATGGGAAGGGGCCTGCTTAAAAGCATCTTGTTTAGAGCCCCCTCAAACCTGGTAGCATGTGTGTTGATATGATGTTGAGTATCAGACCTCCCTTTTTATGCACGTACAAAGGTATGCATGCTAATTTTGTTTTAAAAGAAAATGAAATCCATTCATTTGTCTCTTGTCTGCTTTGGGACAATTATTGTTTTGATATACTGGATAATGTGCAGGTATACTTAGCAGGTGTTGAACTTGGCAAAATGCTTATCTGCACCTTATAGAAAATGGAAAGCACAGTCCAGAAAGCATTGGGTGAAATACAATGTTGTATACACAAAAGGCAGCTTGTGCTTCCTATACAGTATCTTGTTCATGGACTGAAGAGAATGTATAGAACAATTACCCTTTCTGTGCTGTACTGTTACAGGAGAATCAAAGGAAATAAGGTACCTTTGGGGGAGCAGTGCAAGATTCTTCTGCCTGATTTCAAGTAGTTCTGCCCGCCTACCCCAACCTGGAAGATGCATTTCTTAGTGTGTTGTGGGCTGTCCCAAAGTCTCTGAGGAGGGTTTTCAGGACTATAACAAAGGATTCAGGGGAACAAAAATTGACTGTGTGAGCTTCCTTTCATTTGTGCAACAGTAGATTTCAGCCATTAGGCAAAATTAGCTCCACTGAAATGCCTATTGACAAAGCAGAATTTTGTCTGTTCAGGTATGATAGGCCAGTTCAACTTTGGCATGTCTTGAAAACAATATTCTGCCCCTGGCATACTGCAGGGGGCTCACAGACTGCCCCAGATGCCAGAACACACACTTACTTGCACACACACATACAACTGGATGTGACTCAATCTACCTTCCGGTTTGAAAAACAGGCACTTTACCATGTTATACAGTGCAGTGAGAGGATTGTGACATATTTAAAAGGCGAATTACCACTCCCAATGAATTCTAGGATCTGTACTCCACCTTTTTTTTAACAGAAAAAGGGAGGAAGTGAAGGACCAGGGCCCAAAAAAAACAGCTTTGATGAGTCACATGGGGCTGTAATGCAGCTCTTTGCCTGTCCCAATCTACAGGAATTAACAATGCAATTCTACACATGTGTACTCTAAATCCAGCTAAGTTCAATAGGACTTGCTTCCATCTAAGTGGGTGTGGAATTATAGCCTACATGGGTTGAGAAAATGTTAACACATTTATTGTCTTAATCATTTGTTCACAGGCAGTTCAGTATATCATGGGTCACGGAAGAAGGTAAATCTCTCTCTCTCTCTCTCACTCACACACACACACACTCACACACACACAAAATGTAGTGAATTGCTGCCCAAAGAACTACCAGTATTCTATGTATCTGAGCCTTGCTCCTCTCATGTACAGTGGGGTCTTGACTTAAGAACGGCTTGAGTTAAGAACATTTTGACTTAAGAACCACTCTCATAGGAAAATATTGACTTGACTTACATACTTAGATTTGAGTTAAGAACTGAAAAAAACCACGTGGGAGGCAGGGAAAGTGCAAAATTTGAACTTTCAGTTAACTGTTGGCCAGTGAAAAGGGTGCCTGTCTGCTTCCTCACTCCTCCCAGCGTTTAGAGAGTGGATTGGGAGACAGTCTTCGGACTGCCTGGTACTGTACTGCCTGGCCATTTCTTCTGGTGTTTCTGATAGCAATGTTGTATCTGCCTCTTTCAGCTACTGCTCATATTAAGAGAGTGAGTCAGTTACTAGCACTAGGCATTACAGTAGAGATTCGTATACAGGCATAAGATGCTGTGCTACTTTTGGAAACTATGTTGGCTGATCTTATGTCCTGGAAAAAGTTATTTTATAGGTACTCAGAAGCAGTGAAGGGAAACCTAGAATCCAAATTTTGAGGCTTGTTCAGTTTTTACTAAATGAAACAGAAGTACTTCAGTTATGTCTCAGGCTTTCTACTGATGCTTTGGTGATACTGGTATTCTGAAACAGTGTAGGTTTCAGAAGACACAAGTTTTTCTGTCAGCATGCTCCAAACAATCTTTTAAAAAGATTTCCAATTCGTAATTCACTTGGAATTAAAGCAACATTTGAATTATAGGGGATGTTTATAGCATAATGTGCGCCAGATTTTTAAACGCTGTGCCATCTCACAAGATTAAAAGAGACAAAAAACAAGTTAAAAGCTTTATTGATGGATCTCTTGACAGCTGAATAAAACTGTCGCAAGCAAATGGAAAAAAAAACATGCAGTTTATGTTCTGAAGAAGTCTGCCTTCTCAGATATTCAAAGAGCAGAATCAGTTCAAAACATTTCTCCAGAAGAAATTGTTTTCATTTTCTGGGTTGCCTAGAACAGTGGTCCCCAACCTTGGGCCTCCAGATGTTCTTGGACTTCAACTCCCAGAAATCCTGGCCAGCAGAGGTGGTGGGGAAGGCTTCTGGGAGTTGTAGTCCAATAACATCTGGAGGCCAAAGGTTGGGGACCACTGCTCTAATGTATGCAGGTCAGACATCTGCCCTTGTGGATCTGGTGAGATAGAATCCATTGAGCATGTGATGCTCAGATGTAACAGGCATAACAAGATTTGAGGAAAATATATTACACCTCTCTTAAAAGACATGACAAGCCAGTCAGACTCGGACTACTGTAACCAATTGTTAATTGATCAAAATTGGATTACTACAGAACTGGTAGCGAAATTTTGGGTGCCATGCCATAGTAGCCAGAATACAGAGCCAAACTTAGACATTGGTTATATTTGTAGTTTTATTGTTTTTTGCTTATTTGACTTGGCTTTTGGCAGTATATGTCAGTACTTGAAGCTCTGCATTTAATTTTGTTTTATGTATATGGCTTGATGCTGTAACAATAGACGTATGTAAGTTTGCTCTGGTCCACACAGTCAAAGCCTTTTGCATAGCCAATGAAGAAGAAGTAGATCTTTTTCTGGAACTCTCTGGCTTTCTCCATAATCCAGTGCATGCTAGCAATTTGGTCTCTAGTTCCTCTGCC